CGAGCTACTACTAATAAATAAAATCCATTGCATCCCCATAAGACAACGTCATAGGATAGTCTAGTACACGTAGGCTACTTTGTTTTTTTTTTTTATTTTTAATTGCACGCGAAGTCGCGGACGAAAGCTAGTCAATAATATAATTGACGTTGAAAACATTTTTGTATAAAATTAATTATAATCACCAATAGAAATCTTATAGCACTTAACATGTGAACTATAACTACTCTGTTATAGTCTGGTAATTTATTTGACCCGGTGGGAATACAATCTAAATTTCATTGGCATTTAAAGGCATTTCCAGTTTTAAAAAATGTGTTATTATCTTATTTATTTTCTAAAAAAAAGGATAAGAGAACTTTTTACGGTCCAGTCAATATTGTGTAATCAGAAAAAAATCATTAAAAACACAAAACATTAGTATTTTCTAGATATTCTAGGACACAAACCTTCTCGGGCATCCTTCGAATATTCTACCAAAGTTTCGTGGAATTCTGTCCAGTAGTTAATGAATGCAAAAGAAACAAACATATTAATTGATTTTCTTTAGTTTTTACGTCACAGTATAGTTTTCTAACAAACAATGATATATTTTACCTGAAGATATTGTGTGTGGTCTTCCACTCATTATGGCTGAGGCGGCTCTTTCGAATTGCGCAGTGTCTTTTAGATCTGGCCAAGTAGCTGATGCTGAAAAAAAAACAATTGAATTAAGAAAAAAAACGTACGAAAAGTTTAGATAAACCTCTAAGTATTAAATCTATACTAATATAATTAAGCGTTTTGAATAACTCTTTTTTTTAATAAAAACCCCTACACTTACGTCACGCTTTACGCTAAATATTTTCACGCCGTTAAGCTTAGGGGTTAATATTTTGGATAAAAACCCTAATGTGGGAAAGAGACCATAAGTTGTTGCCAACATCAAGGAAGCAAGGTTGCTATGGTTTGACATCATGTCATGTCATTTTAACATTTGCAATTGATAATTAGACAAATGTGAAGAATAAAATGAAATTTTTATAATTTTTTGCGGATGAAGTCGCATGGGAACAGCTAGTCAGTCAATACAAATGTAAATCATATCAAAATATATTTGAATATTTTTATTTAAAAATGCAAGATTTTGTATAGATGGATGGATGTTTTACTACGTATCTTCAAAACAGCTTAACGAATCTCGATGAATTATTTCACACATAAAGATCATAGTTTATACCAAAGGTTGCGAATCACTGGCACTTGTGCCATAAATGGCACATGACAATTTTAGAGCATGTCGATAATAAAAATACTACCAAAAAATACCGGAGTAGATGCACCATGAAACTGACGTTATAATACGTCAGAGGCACCCATTATCTAGAACAGGGGTGGCAAACATTTATGCATCAAAGTGGCATTTTTAGAGGAAATGTTTAATACGGTCTTAGATATGCCATCTTATAATTTTGATTGATTGTTACGTCAATTCCATGAAGCATGGAAATGACATCGCGTTTGCTTTTATATAATACCTACTGCATG